AACGCTGGCCTCATGGCTGCCACCATTCATTTTGCAGAGTTTTCCCAGTCTCAACTCCACTGTCTTAGCTTCTACTCTGTTGCTGTGACAGAACACTTGGACAACGGTGACTAAAGAAAGGAAGGACTTATTCTGGCTTACCATTCAAGAGCACAGTCCACTCTGGCCAGGAAGTCAAGGCTGCAGAAGTCTGAAGCAGCGGGTTACATTACATCCACAATTGGGAAGCAGACAGCAATAAACGCATGCTGAGCTTGGCTCCCTTTCTCTACGTCCATAGTCCAGATGCCAGCCAGGGAATAGTGCCACCCACAGTGGACAGGTTCTCCCACATCACTTGGTGCAATTAAGATAATCCCCATAAGCATGACCAGAGACTTGTTTCCTAGGTGATTTCTAGATTCTGCAAAGTTAGCAATTAACGTTAGCCATCCTGGTCATGTCACCCCAAAACAGAGCCCATAGGTTTTTAGAAAAAGTTATCTGATTTCTTTCATTAAGCTCTGAAGAATAAAGTTCTATGGTATGGTAAGCAAGACCTCACAAACGTATATAATATGGTATCAGACGATTGAAACAAAATCCATAGTGATTTTGAAGGGTTTGCGGTAGAGCACACCATGGAGGTGACTTTAAAAGAACAAATTTATAAGCATTCCCTTAGGGGTGAAGTTATGTCTTCGTGGGTTTGTTGAAAGCTGTTCATAGTAGGGTGTAGGTGGAAGTATTAAATGATCAAATATTTTTTATAAACCAAATGGCACATGATACTTTTCACTCGTTTATTTAAAAATGTGGCTGTGTGAGAGTACATTCTATCTCACTCTGCATTCGAAAGCATAGATTCCAAACTCAAGGCAGCAATGAACCTCCACAGACCACAGGGATGAAGCGGCATCTGGATACAGTTCCTCCTTCCGGCATCTTAAAAAGAGAATGAAATACCCAGGAGCCATCGGGTTCAAGACAGCACGGAAACTAAGCTGGTCGGCGGAAGTGGGCTCAGCAGTTAAGAGCACTTCTCTTCTTCCGAGGAGCTGAGTTCGATTTCCAGGATCCACGTCAGATGACTTACAGCCTCCTGTAACTCTAGTTCTAAGGGATCTCACACCCTCTTCTGGTCTCTATGAGTACCCTCACACAATGTGGCACACACACACACACACACACACACACACACACACACACACAATATTAAAAAAAATTAAACTAAGTTTGTGTAGTAAGAGGAAAGTAATTGTTAAGGCCGATTCTATTACAGACAAAAAGGCCAGGGCGGCAGCATTTGGGAGGCAGAAACAGGTGGATTTATATAAATTTGAGGCCAGCCTCATCTACATAGGGAGTTCCAGGCCAGCCAGGGCTATGATGTGAAACTCTTGTTTCAAATGGAAAAATAAATAAACAAAAAGAGGGGCTGGAGAAATGGCTCAGTGGTTAGTAGCACTTACAGTGCAGGCATGAGGATCTGAGGTTAAGTCCCCACGTGAAAAGCCACGAGGGGGTGGACAGGTGGATCACTGGGGCCTGCTCATGGCTGCTATCCTTGCTCCGGGTTCAGTGGGAAACTCTGTGTCAAGGGAATAGGGAGAGAGTTGATACAGTGGGATACCCCTCAGCCTCTGTATGGGCATCAACAACAACAACAACAACAACACACACACACACACACACACACACACACACACGCACGCACGCACATGCACACACGTGCATGCACACACGCACACACACGCACACACACATGCACACACACGCATGCACACGCACGCATGCACCAAGGGGGGGGGAGAATGAATAGAAATATGAAAGTATCTGTACTGTTAAGATCTGGTATTTAGAAGTTTTCCTAGACTCCTGATTTGTTTTTTAGGCAGCAGAAGTTACAAGGTCAACAGTATGAGTTACTGGAGACTGAGTCCTACCAGTCCCTTTGTGGAACCCTAGACAGAACCAAGCAGGAACTCTCCAGACCTCTTGGAGCTCATCCGAGCTCATTCATAGCCTCACAGCCAGAATGAAGAAGAGCTGAACATAAATGACTCTTCCAGCACCAGAGTCCCTGAAGAGCTGGACACAAATGGGGGCTGACCCTGGGTCCTTGATACCTCTACCTAGATGTGATTCTGGTCGCCACAGCGAACCAACACTCACTCCTATTTGCCAGGACAAGCAGGGAGGGCAGCCTCCACAGAGTCTAAGCTATATTTGTGAAACGAGGTGAAACTTGAAAGCCAGTTCACAGAGTGTCAGCCGGAAGGCAACTTAAGAGCTTAAAGAAGGGAAGAGCAGACCCAGTCCCTAAGCTCCATGTTGAGTCTGGTGCAGTCGGCAGTGTGGAACTAATCCTGGGTTGTGTAGACAGATTCAGGCTTGCCAGGAGCTCTCTGTGATTCAGTGGACTTTTGAATTGGTGGGACTGGACGAGAGGCTGATGATCACAGATAAAGCTGGGACTTATGGTGAATACCTTGTCTTCTCTCCAGTTCTATTCTCTTCTCTATCCTGTTACATCCCTGGGAAGCTGACCTACTTGGCTCAAGTGGATGCAATCTATCTTAGTTTCTTTCCTGTTGCTGTAACAAAATATCTCAAGTGGATACTGTACGCATTGCAGCTCAGATGGAAAGGGATCCTGGCAGTGAGGAGCCAAGGAATACCACAAAGTCACCGGAAGCGTAGCAGTGGCTTACAGCCATGCTCCGGGGAAAGGTTTCTCCAATGTAACAACTCCGTTCCAGCAGGGGAGGATTTCCCCAGCAAAGTTGCTACAGTTCTCAGATCCCCTGGATTGTAACAGCTCTGCTCTGATAGCAGAAGGTTTCCTCAGTGAAAGTGTCTGCTCCACTCTTCTCTGCTCCCGCTGGCGGGAAAAGTTGTTACTTCTCTGCTGCACTGCACTCAGAGGAAAGAAGGTCTCACACAAACCTCATTCGAGAGATTCATTGGGAGGGAAGAATCCAGGAGGGCGGCTGCCTCTACCATGGTGGAAAAAGGCTGCTCCCAACTGAACAGGCACAGGGCTTATATAGGGCTTCTTAGGGGTGAAATTTTTCCAGGGTGAAGATTTCCAGGGTGAGAATTGATGGGATTTCAATTACTGAGCTTGGACAAGCTCAGAGATTGGCTGGATTTTGTGCTCAGGGATTGGTTGGTTTTTGTATTGAGTTGGTCAGGGGCGGAGTGTGTTTCTTTGGCTCTGGTTTCAGGGCCAGCGTATGTTTCTTCGGCTGGCCCTTTTACCCTACAGATACTTTATGAAGAATAGCAGTTTCGTTGGCTCACAGCTGTGTTGTAGGTTGGAAGGTCTAAGAGCATGGCACAGCCATCTGCTCAGCATTGGTGAGGGGCTTCTTGCTGCATCCTAGTACGGCCAAGCACATCGCAGGAAAAGGGTTCTAGTTCCATTCTCTCTTCCTATAAAAGCTGTCATGTCATTCTCATCCTCAGGACCCCATGTCACCCCCATTTCCTTTCAAAGGCTCCGCCTCCAAGTACCATTAACATTTGAATTTGAGGATTATGTCTCCAACAGGAGGACTCCTGGGAAACATGTTCAAATCATGGCAGAAGCCTGTCCTCTCAACTCTGTTGGGTTCAGATAACAGCGGGAGACCCCAGAGACAGAGTGCACTGTTAGAATTTCCTGGTTTCCTTCTTACCTCCCCGAGGGGAAGACACCTCCGCTGAGGTCCAGGACTCGTCTTCCAGTAGTCCCTTTTGCACTGCTCTTTCCGACTGTGACAGCTGCCCTTTGCATTCATCTTCCCACCTGACTCTTCTCACCAGACTTGCCAGCTGGAAGGAGCCCCACTGCCCCTGATGCTTTCCCTACAACTTGCCCACACATATCGTGTGTGTAATGCACATGCATACGCACATGTCTGTGCATCCGTGCAGGAAGATACGCTCACCCATTTGTGTGCATTGGGGGGGCAGAAGTCAACAGTCAGCATCTTCTTTGATTGGCCCCCTCCTTTCTTTTTGAGACAGGGTCTTTCACTGAACCTGGAGGTTATCGCTTGGCCAGACTGGCTGGCCAGTGAACCCCCTGCCTCCAACTCCCAGCTCTGGGATTACAGGCATTCCCTACCAAACTCGGCTTTTATTTTTTTTTAAGTGGGTGGTGGGGATCCACGTTGAGCACCCTGCACGTGCAGGTAAGCACCCTGTCACCGAGCTGTGACCCCAACCTAAAACCATCTTCGCAAGAGTCATTATCTTTTAGAGATATGAAGGTGATGGGTGTTCGTGGACGAAGCGGTAGGGTTAGGCTTTGTGCCACAATGCCACAGAGGGACTTGAGTGGGAGTCGAGATGAAATGGGGCTGAGGTCTGATAACTGCAGCTGGCTGTGGAGACACGAAGACCTCTGCACAGAACTCCCCCACTCTCTGTGTGAGTGGAGATTATGGGACGTTAAACGGCGAATGGATGAATAGCTAAGTGAAAAGCCACTCTGCCTCTGGAAAACTGGTTGGTTTTTGCTTGGCAGCTGCCTGTGACATCATTCAGGGTGCTCAGTTTCAGAAATGTAACAGAAAAAAAAAAAAAAACATGCCGAGGCAAGATGTAAATGAGGAGTGCTATTTTTGTGAAAGTTAATCAAATGCTGCTCAGTGGAAAATATCAAGGTGACATTGCTGAGCATTTTTCATGAATGAGGAGGGAAGCAAACCAGAGTTACACATGGGTTTCAAAAGCTGTTCTGTGTGGACTTCTAAGTCACCTTGGGTGGGGAGGATACAGGGAAGTTATGTATGAACCAAGAAGTCCACACAGAATAGGTTTTTATCTTGAATGGGAGTGATACAGAGGACTTCATTAAACTGTCTATTCTTTTAGAATTGCTTTCAAGGCTTATTGGAAATTTAAAAAGCATGGCCATTTTAATTAAAGTGAGCCTTTCTGGTTTTAGAAGGCATGTTGTGATGTTACCCCTGATTCCATACAGTCGCACTTTTCTAACATTAGTTTCTTTCCTGTCTCTCACTCTTCAGTTCTGTCTGCTGTATGGAACGAAGCTGGTGTTCCAGGAGCGGGGCTGGTACTTAGAACACAAGTACCTGACTCCCACAGCCAGCATGCGGATCAGGGCTCAGGTAAGAGTCTCCAGTGCAGAAGAGGTGCTTTGTGCACCAGCCTTTGGCTCGTTGCTCTTTTAGGAAACAGTCCTGCTTGTGAGTCTCTGAACGTTGACCTTTGACCTCTAGGACTTTGTGTTCCATAGTCTCTTATGATTCTATTAAGTGACAAGGACTGACTCGCTGTGCATGAACTTCCTGACATCGAAAGTGGAGACAGGAAGGTGTGGTTTTTTTTTTGTCTTGGGGGCGGGGGTATTAACAATTTTTCTATTCCTTCCAAAGTATATTAACTCATTCTTCATATTCAGAATGTCCTGTGTATTTTTATGTCAGTAGCAACCACGGAAGTGAAGAGCTACTTAATGCCTGAACATAAGGTGGGGCCATTAACCCATCCTAAGGCACTGCTCTAAGGAGAGATAACACAGACAGCAGCAGCAACTGTGAAGCCTGTTCCTAGCCCATCTCCTCTGAGAAGCACAAAGAGGTAGAAGACTCAGTCTGAGCAGTATTCAAAGGGGCTTGTTGTAGTGACAGTCCCAATACGGACTTCTAAAAACACAAACAGTGTGGTTCACGTGCTCAGTGACACCCCACTGGAGAAAACTGATTATCCCTTTGCCTGCAGTTATCAATTTCAGATAGCTTCTTGGTTAGGATTGGGGCCACTTCCCCTTTCAGTGCTGGGACCCCGTCTGCCTTGAACCTGGATGGGTCTTGTGCATGAGAACACAGTCTCCATGAGCTCATGTGGGCATCAGTCCTGTTGTGTCTGAAGGATGACATTCCTTAGAGTTATCCATTACCTCTGACTCTTACCATCTTTCAACATCCTCTTCCACACAGATCTCTGGGCCTCAAGGGGAGTGGTTTGATAAAGGTATCCCACACAGGACTGTGTTCCAAGTCCCTCATTCTCTATACATTGTCATGCTGTGGGTTGTAGTCGGAAGTTTTTCTGTGTCCCACCTGGCCCATGGTCAGGACAAATCTCTTTCACCCGCCAGTCCTGCAGCCGCTCGGACCCAAGTAAACACACAGAGGCTTATATTATTTACAAACTGTATGGCCATTAGCTCAAGCTTATTACTGACTAGCTCTTACACTTAAATTAACCCATAATTCTTATTTATGTTTAGCCATGTGGCTTGGTACCTTTTCTCAGTTCTGGCTTCACATCCTGCTTTCTCTGTGTCTGGCTGGCAACTCCTGACTCAGCCCTTCCTCTTCCCAGAATTCTCATCTGTTTACCTCGCCTATACTTCCTGCCTGGCTACTGGCCAATCAGCGTTTTATTTATCAACCAATCAGAGCAACACATTCACAGCATACAGAATGACATCCCACAGCAGTGGGTCTCTGTTAATTCCCATCTACTACAAGAAGCAGTTTCTATGTCAGATCTCCTAAGGAAGGCAAAATGTTTCAGAGAGACCAAGGGAAACCAGAATAGGAGGATTAAGTAGAGAGGGAGATGGGAGAGCAGGGTAAATTTGGGGAACTTGGGAGGGACAACTAACACTAAGGCCATTTTAAATGTGATATGGAAACATACTACTGTAGAGACTTCCTGAAAATCTATACCTATAGGAAAGGAATCTAAATGGAATTGCCCTACAATGGGGAGGACCATGTCCCAACTGGATTTCTTATCCCACCAACAAAAACCTTGTACCAGGAAAGGGTTACATCTTATTGAACTATTGGCCAATGGGGTCCCATGGAACCCCCAAACTTCACAGGCTATTGGCAAGGCTATAGGTTGTGCATCACAACCTGATGGTGGAGCCCTATTGCTAAAGACACCTATGTCATTCATTTTTATCTTATATGTATGAGTGTTTGCCTGAATAATATGTCTGTGCACCATGTAGTACAATGCCCTCAGTGACCATAAAATGGCATTGAATCCCTTGGGACTGGAGTTTCAGACAGTTATGAATCACCATGTGTGTGCTGGGAACTGAACACATTTCCTCTGGAAGAGAAGCCGGTGCCTTAACAGCCAAGCCATCTCTCCAGTGCCTCTGATATAGAAACTCTGAGGGCGTGCTTGAACAGTAAGGGAAGCAATGACTAGATGGCAGCTGTCTTTGGTGAGGACATTTCACAAAGACAGTGCTCGCTTTGGAAATAAGAAAGAATACCAGATTTTTGTTGTGGTTGTTATTGTTTGTTTTTCAAGACAAGGATTCTATGTATAGCCATGGCTGTCCTGGAACATGCTCTGTAGACCAGGCTGGCCTCGAACTCAGAGATCGCCTGTCTCTGCCTCCAAAGTGCTGGGATTAAAGGTATGTGCCACCACCACCTGGCTAAGGAAACCACCTTTTAATTTAAACAATATTGCACAGAGAAGAGAGGCTAGAAATATAGTAAGAGCCAGAGGACCAGGACACTACTTATTAGTGATTTCTACATAGGACAGGACAGCTGCACCCATGAATGTTCACTTGAAATGATCAATAATGATCACCTGAAAGGGACCTGCGTAATGACAACAGTTGGCATGCCAATATGGATGGAAGTCCCTCAAGGCCCCATCCCTAGATGAAGAGGTACAGACAATCAATGGCTGCTATCTGAAGGAGAATTCATTTTCTCCAGGGACAAGCTCACGATTGGTTATCTAATCCCAAGCAATCACCTCTAAACGTATGTACATAGAAGCAACACTGAATTGACTCGGTAGATGTTTTACATATACTTGAGTGTGTGTGTGTGTGTGTGTGTGTGTGTGTGTGATGTATGTATGTAACAATAATAATTAAAAAAGAGGTCATGAACTTGAGAGAGAGTGGGGGGCTATGGGAGGAGTTAGAGTGGGGAGAGAGAGAGGTGTTGAATAATGTAAATACAGTATTCATGATATTCTCTGAAATTTTTTACTAAAAAATTATATAAAGAAATATTTGAATCTATGCCACCAGTAATGTGGAATTAGCAGAAAAGAAAAATACAGCAGAGGAAAGTTGAGTAAAGACCACCTTTTATGTAAGACATGAAAGTGCTTTTGTATTCTTGTAGTACAACATGGTTTCCACACTTGTCAACCGTGGGACCCTCACAGCATCCTGGGAGGTGAGCAGGAAGGAGCCAGCCACCTCAGAACTAGCTTTCTCTTGAAGGCCAAATGGGGTTGCTCAAAGGCCTCCTTGTCAGATTTCTAGGCTGCCAACTTGGAGCACGCAAGTGTTCTTAAAGGGGAGAGAACAGGGGAGCCGCCATAGCTCCATCCTCTCCCACCTCCATCACACCCCTTTACAGGAACCTCGTCATCCATGAAATCAGGAGCTTTTCCTCACCAGTATGTTTGGGGTCTTCAGTCAACTGAAGATGGATACCCAGAACCAGGAGGGGTCTGAGAAATACACGAGATGGACTGGGGTTCTCTGTGTTCCTGAAAGTGGCCTAGGTGCTTCCCTCAGTATTTCAAGTTCCCTGACTCCACAGGTGTGATTCTCTTTTGGGCTAGCCTATCCCCTTCCCTGAGTGTTATCCCAGGTGTTACAATGTTTTTCTGAACAGGTCCCTTCTTTCTTTATCATGTGATCTCTGGCACATTTAGTCTCTATGCACCACATTGACTTTTATTTCTCTATACATTAAAATATTTTTGCTTTATAGCCTTTAGCTACCAATTCCAAGTTCTTAGGTCTTCAATATTTTATTTCCTACTATGTCAGCTCTATGTCTAGTTGTCTTCCGTTGTGTGCTGCTAAGTGTTTTTGAGTAATGATCTGTACGGTTTGTGTAAATCTGATTGAAGTTACTAATAGGTTTTCTGTGCCTGGATAATAGGTTCCTCTGCCAACGCACGAAGCCATGCCAAGCTGAACTGAAAAAGTGTGACAACAGGTTTATTTGAGCAAAGCAGCTCCCGGGTGGGTTCTCCAGTCCCAGAGATTGAGGCTAGAGAAGCCTCACGCTGAGCTAAAGCAGGGAGATTATATAGCCTGTAGGGGAGGGATGATGATGTGTCTGCCGAAAGCTGGGCTTGTGCCAAGTGTGGTCAAAAGCTGAAAGCCTAGGCAGGGACTTGGGCTGCTGGCGCAGCAGGGGAGGAAGGGGCAGTAGTCACCAGGAATGTGGAACCGGGCTTTTTGGTGCCTTTTCTTTGCTGGAGACTCTCTGAGAGGGCGGGACTTGGCGGCTTGGAGAGAGAGAGACAGGAATGGGGTTTTCCAGATCGTGCAGGGGTGAGCTGGAGGTTCCAACTGAACAGTTACTTCACCTTACAAGACACTCTGAAGAGACATTCAGGAGGAGGCCAGCCTTAAACAGAATGCCTTGCTTGAGGTTTCTTCAAAAGAGCCATAAAATTCAGGGAGGAATGACTTCACCTGCCTGTTCCCTAGCATGCAGTTTGTTGTGGCAAGGGTCTCCTGTTGAGATTTTTACCTAGCGTTGCCTCTGGTGTTTTCCTATCATGATCTCCTGCCTCCTCCTGAGCTACTGTCCCACTGCCAACATGAAAGTTCAGATCTGCTGGAAGTGATATATGGCTTCAGGGAAAATGCAATTTTCTTTTTTGTTTCTCCAGATTCCTTTTTTTTTTTTCTTAAAATGGCTTTTATTGTTCCATCAAGTCATTGATGCTTTGAAGATGTTTCCCAGAATTTTCCCAAATATTTTGATAATGTTCAGCAGAAACATTGGTGTGAAAAAACAATCTATTCTCCGAAGCAGCTAGTCCAGCTGGTGTCGTTCCTCACAATCCCGCAACCCTGTGAACGGCTCTTGTTTTGCCTCGCTCACTGATGAGGAACTGGGGTTCAGAGTGAAAAAGTAACCAGCCCAATGTCAGAGAAACCTGTACCTTCCCAAGCCCAAGCCTTTATTTAATGTGCTTGCTGGAAAATGGTACCAGCAAACACTCCTGAAGTCCATGCTTGGCTCCTAACCACATGTTGCTAAAAGGATCAAGAAGTCTTGGAAAAAGGCTAATTCTAGGGTTAGGACAAAAAGCTAAAATAATTGGGGCTGGAGAGATGGCTCAGTCATGAAAAGCATGT